ATGGATGGATGCTGCTGCTTTTATCACTGCTCGCTCCATTATCATCCTTTTGTATATGTATCATAGGCTTTACAGCGAGTGAGGTTGTACACACAGCACACCTTTGACCACATGTTTTCAGATAGGAACAGCCTGTTTTACTTTCACTTGACTTCAGAACATGTTGTCTGCAACCCTTGTCATTAACTTCTGGTATAATGTGAGTTAGACCATCCACTGTAATGTGAGGAAGACATAATCGCATTTATCAGCAACAGAGCTTCTTTGGGTGTCACTACGCTTTATGCTAAATTTAAGCTTTTATGTTAAATATACTTTTTTTCCCACAAAATTCCTTTATCAGTCTGCTCCTGAGTAGAGATGGCTTTAGAGAAGCCGTATTAATTTGGTACAGAAATATCAATAAGCTTCTGAACAAACTGTTGTTTCCAATACAGCCCGCCACTGCTAAATTAATACCTCCACTGTCTTCAATATCAGGGCAGACTAGCTTTAGGTCCAGTCACCTTTTACCCTACGATACAATAAATAACAACACTAATCACAAGTTATTAGTACTCGTAGCCTTTAAACACATTTAGGCAAAAGAAGTCCCAACATTTTGTGCTTTTGCACCCAACTCAGTTCATCTGCCACACGAGACACGCTCAGCCGGGACACCGGGGTTAAAGTGCCTGGAATGATGCCGAGTCATGATCCAAACTTCATCCAAGAATAACAAAATAAATGTGATCCTCAGTTTGTGACTGAAGAACATCAGAGGTGCACTCAGGAGAGAGCTTCTTCCCACAGATTTTCACAGATCACAGTGTTCATTTTAACTTCATTGTGGCAGAATAAGTGACATCCCGCTAATCCAGGAACAAAAATATTAATTTACAAGGTTATTGTAACGATCTGCTCTAGGTGTGTGCGTGACTAGAAAAGAGCAGCGACACATGTTGACTGGCACAGAGAAATGTGCCTCGGGGCAGTGGTGTAGGTTTAGCTTCAGGACACAAACCAAAACTGAACCATGTCAGTGTGGAGGGCATCAGAACCATAGAGCAATATCAATAAGAGTATTGACAAGTATTGGTATTGATAAAATACCCATCCGTATTCCTACACATGAGTAATGTGTCTGAAGGATGTAGGGACAGGATGCTAAGTGCTTACGCTAACCAAAGACTCAGGACGAGTCAGCGTTTTTTCTGAAGCTGCGGTCAGCTGCACGCCTGGTCAAACATTGCTAAGCTTTAAAGTATGCGCTCTGCTTGTGAGTGCTCTTTTTTTCCCTCTGTCATGTGACGCTCAGCTGAGTTGTGTCTCTCTATGAAGAACACAGGATATGATTTTATTTTCTTTTTAACTGTAGTATTTTCTCTTCTGACGTGTTTTTTTTTTCAATTGAGTAATTCCAGATCTGAAGCGGTAAAATAGTTTCCAGTACAGTATCTCACCAAATCTAATTTAAATCAAATGTGTTTGTCTTTTTATAATTCCACAGACTCTGAGTTTCACCTGAGCTTTAATCTTTTATAGAATAAATATTCAACTTCGCCCTCCAGATGTGATTATCTCGCTCGCTACATACCTTCTCACAATAAAAAAAAAAGCTAAATATCTAATATGTTTTTTTCCCAGCTGCCTTCCTCACACAGACGGTATGTTTGGATGACACAACAGTCAAGTTTGAGATCTGGGACACTGCAGGACAGGAACGGTATCACAGCTTGGCACCGATGTACTACAGGGGAGCCCAGGCTGCCATCGTGGTCTACGACATCACCAACACAGTAAGTTATCTGGACCATGACAGGATATTAGTCAGGACGCTAACAAGTCATTTGTCTGCTGCTCTGACCTTTGTCCTCCCGCCCGAGTTGATGATTGTTTGATTCAGCAAACGACAACAGACCTTTGCTCTTTTAACTCCTAAAGCCAAATGTGACATTAAAAACCAGAGATTAAAAGTTTTGTTTTGTTTTTTTTCTCTTCAAGGATACATTCACACGTGCAAAGAACTGGGTGAAGGAGCTCCAGCGACAAGCCAGCCCGAATATTGTTATTGCACTGGCAGGGAACAAAGCAGACCTGGCCAACAAGAGGGCTGTAGACTTCCAGGTAAAAAAGACACAGAAGTTTTAAAATCTGTAATTAAAGTGTTCTAAAATGAATCTAAGCTGAATATCTGTGTTTCATTTATTGTTTAGGAAGCACAAGCATATGCAGATGACAACAGTTTGCTCTTCATGGAGACGTCAGCCAAGACTGCTATGAATGTCAATGAGATTTTTATGGCTATAGGTGAGTGAACCCCAGACACAGACACAAGTTACTGTGATGTAGAGCTGCAACAGTTAGTTCATCAAATGGAAGAAAGATGATGCTTAAGTTCAGGGCAGCAGCTAACAGTGGATTCTTTTTTTATCTTCTTGATTAAACCCCTGAATGAGTTGATTCATCTTTTCAGTCATTTCTCGCTCAGAATCTAAAAGAGCGTTTTGTGGTTCCGGGTTTTTAAATGTGAGAGTTTGCTGCTTTTTCTTTGGGCCGTTGGGTCACAAGATGTCTTGGGACGTCACCTGAGGCTATGGAATATCGCAGGTCGATTTAGGAGACAGAATTTGTTGCTAGTTGCTAGTCGTCGTTATCACAGTGCAGACATTAATGGATGATGCTCTTACCCCCATAACAGCCAAGAAGCTTCCTAAGAACGAGCCTCAGGGCGGAGCGGGCGCTGGTGGACGGGCCAGAGGCGGCGTGGACTTGCAGGAAGCTGCACCACAGGGCAGAAGTGGCCAGTGCTGTGGAGGCGGGAACTAACAAACCATGTCAGCTGATCCAACCAATCTAACAGCTCCGATCAACCAGACCAGATATTAGCCAGCTGTCAAACAATGTCCCAAAACTACAACCGACCAAAATCACAACTGTGTGTTGAAAACATATTGCTGTATTTGTATCAGACTTTTCAAGTTTATAATCAATCTGTAGTTATCGTCCAATATCTTCCCAATCTCTACATGATGTTTTGTCAACCTTAATTATTTTGTGTTTTTTTTTTT